AAGAAGACAAGGAGGAAGGACATTGGGTCTCGATATTAGGAGCTTTGGAATTAAAAGTCGTTTGTATTTTACTATTTTCTGTATATATGCCCCAAATACTGCACCGGAACGAGAATAAATTTTTGCAAAAATTCAATCAAAGGTCGCACAAGGTATTCCAGTCATCCTAGCAGAAGACTTCAACGCCGCTCCAGATCGATCGCTTGACCGCGGGCAAGTCCTCCCCTCCACCTTGCGACACGCGGAGGAGGACGAAAACATGCTCTTGCACTTATGCAACTCGCTCTCCGTCTTTGACACATCCCGTCGCACCTTCTCCCAAGAAAGAACCTTTACCTGTATCTGGAATAACAACCCGACCAGACTCTCCAAATCAAGGATCGACTTAATCCTAGTGTCAGATGCTCTCGCGGGCAATTTGACGGTGGCCGCGATTTTACCTTCAAGCCTGCACCCAAGCTTGGTCCACAAGATGTGTATGGTGGCATTTATCTTTCGGAAGAGGTCGGACCAAGGTCATAGCTTCTACAAGATGAACACATCATTACTCCAGTTCACTACGTTCTGGCATTACCTCGCTCACACTTGGGCATACCGGAGAGACCGTCGTCCCGGGATAGAGTCCCCTCTGATATGGTTCAACAACGGCATATTTTTCTTGACCAAAAAATGCAATGAGTTCTCTAAGCAGCTAGCCAAACAACGCCATCAAAAAGAAATCGACCTAACGACTCAACTTCAAGAGCTAGAACAACAACTAGACCCGCACCAGATGGAGCAGAAACACACAAACGGTCCATAATGTAAAGGCTGAATTGTTAGAACAAGCTCAGCATAGGTGACAAGGCACACAAATCCAGGGGAAATTATCAAAGTACTTGACTGTTGGCATAACGAATGCCAAATTTTTTGGCCTCGTGGGAGCAAGAAACAAAAGATCTATAGCGGAAGCCTTGTATGGCCCAGAAGGGACGGAAGCTCACCCCACAATTACAACGACGAGTTGCATCAAAATAGCCCATGACTATTTCAAAGACCTGTTTGCATCTCACATCCCACCAAGCAGCGAGGACTACCGGTTGCGTCAAATTAAGGAATTCCTCCAGCCCTTGAGCATATCCTTATCCCCAGAACAACGAGAATGTTTGGAGGCAACCCTAACTAAAGATGAAATATGGACGGCTCCCCTACAAACGGAAAAGGATAAAACTTCTGGATTGAGCGGACTCGCCAAGGAATTCTGGGAAACAATGTGAGATAGTATGAGTGCAGACCTCATGGAATATTACAACGAAGTCTGGAACACAGGTAGCATGGGAGAGTCGGTGGGTCAGGGGGTACTATCCCTTCAATATTTGAAACTATCGATCGATCACTCTTCTTACGGTCACCTACAAGATGCTCGCTAAGGGCTTGGCAAATTGAATGATCCTCGTCCTGGAGGATTTTATCCACCCGTCCCAGACTGGTTTCATGCAGCAAGGGCAGATCCAAGAGTTCATCTTGTTGGTCCACGAGGTCCTACATTTAACCCAACAATCCAAACAGAATGCAACACTGATTTTTATTGACTTTGAAAAAGCCTATGATTACGTTGAATGTTTTTTTTTAGATAAGTGTTTGGAGAAAATGAACTTTGGACTGTCTTTTCGCAGATGGGTACACATTCTCCACCACAATGTCACTACTAAGGTGCAGATAAACGGCTCTCTGGCACCACCGATGCGACTCGAGAGATCGGTCCGTCAAGGCGACCCCATTGCACCCTTCCTCTTTCTTGTAATCATGGAAGCCCTATCCGCGAACCTCCGAACCAACAAGGACATTGCCAGAGTTAGAATAGCTCGAATCCCTGATGAGGCAATCCCAGTGTGCTCCTTGTTTGCGGACGACCTCACTATTAGGGTCGATGCCACAAAAAAGAACACGAAAGAAATTGAGAGACTAATGGACAGGTTCGCTCGGGTATCTGACATGGTGGTGAATTGGGGGAGCAAAACCCTTGGATGGTGGATCTCCCACCAAGGGGAACGACCGCCGGACTCCCCCAGGATATCATGGCTTCCTTCGTAGGCACCGATCTGTGTCCTATGTATCGCCATGAGAACCCTAGGGCATCCTCCGACCAACGATGACTAGATTTGTGTACCAGCACTCGTCAAATTGACAAACTAACGGAACAAGTACACTTCAATTTTGAGTTGCGCACTAACTATCAATAACGTCGTGCTTGCCACGTTGTGGTATAAGTCAATCCTATGGCTAATAAGCAAAGTCGCCTACCGGACTCTCAAAGCAAAAGTTGTAGCCTTCTTATGGCGGGGAGATGATGAGAGGGTCAACGTCATGAGTCGGGTAGCATGGGAAACAGTCATATAGCCAAAAAAAAAGGGGGGATAGGAATCATAGACCCACCAACACAGACCCAAACTCTACGTCTAAAATGGCTGCAAAAACTTATCTTCGCTCCGGACTGCCCTTGGCAGGCCCTGGCCCTTGAGCACATCGTCCGCCTGTCCCACCGACTTCGTCAGAAGTACACCCCCTAACATAGTCAGAGGACCGGTACTGGTCGATTCCCCGCAAAATCCAAAAAGCCGCTGGAAAAATTGTGGCCCACGCTCTTGAAGAGTTGGCGATGTCTCTCCCTTTCCGATGCACCAACCCCGGAAAGGTCGGAGGAAGTTTATCGTCAGCCCCTTTTCGAAAATCGGAGAATTGCACCCCGTCACTGTAAAATATTGTGTAGCTCAATGGCCCCATGGAAAGGATGGGTCAAACATGGGGTACTTCGAGTCGGCCATCTATGGGACAACAAGAGGAACAACTGGAAGACAGGAACCCAACTCCAGGACACCCTCTAGTACTACCACCACACAGACAGATACCTGGAAATGATCACTAAAGCAATTCCGTTCGCTTGGTACAAGTTGTTGAGACGAGGGTTCATACTACAGGAAGGGGCCTGGTTGCCCTGCCAAGGGAATTGAATACGATTGGCAAAATCCACATGATACGCCCCTCGGAAATGCTGGTGGAATACTATATGATGGGTCCAAGGGGCACACTCCAGGGATCCCGAGACCCATTTGTATGGCAGGAGAAAACAGGGATGTTCAAAATAACGGTGATAGGAAAAGGTGACGAGGCCGTCTCCTTCCAACCCCAGACACCCATCCATAACCTGTCCATCGATCCCTACGATTGGCAATGGCAGACCGTCGGAGGACCAACAGTTACACCTCGGAACACAGTCCAACTCCATCACCTATCGGTCAAATCCATGTATAGGATGCTTCGACCCAAAAGACCCCAACGAGACCAGATCATTGACAGGTGGGCCAGACACCTTAACGTCGACCAGGCCCTCCTCACGCCGATCAAATGGTTCCAAGAGGGCAAAGCTAAACCGGCCAAGGTCACATCCCTACAATGGCAGATCACATATTGCTGCCTACCAACAAATGCCTGGTTAATCGACCACACCCACCTGGAGCAAAAAGGGAAGGCACTCCCATGATGTCAAAGGTGCACAAGCGCCTTTCCCTCACGAAAGCGGGACAAGACCATCGAACACATCTTTATGCAATGTCCGGTGACAATGTTCACATGCTGATGGTGGGACCACATATGCTGCAAGATAATACCAAACACTCACTGACCTTGATCCTGGCAGACCATATTAACAAGACATTGCCCATCAATGGCGGTCTCCCCCAATTTCATAAGCAACATGTACAGTCTAGGAAAAAGGTCAGTCCTTTGGGCCCTTTGGTGGCAGCGTTGTCTCCTGGTGATGGAAGGGGTGAAGATAGAAGGGTCAGAGTTCACAGGGCAAGTGAAGGAGCTCGTCCAGCTGGAACTGATGTGTAAATGGCAAACTCTTAAATCACGACTACACATTTTTCAAACTTAGCATGATATCAAGGAAACAATTACAACATTCTGCTTAGACTGGCTAGGGGATCGGCAGGAGCGATGGATAGCTCGGGCAGAATGGGGGGGTGACCAGGCAGACTCGGAAAAAACAGGACCCACCTAGGGTCTACCGTTTAGTCTTCAAAGACTGGACTACTGTTGAACCCTCCTTCCCAATGAGACCCCCATCTGATTTCCCTGACCCCTTCCCACCTCACCCCTTCTCATTGGCGGAAATTCAGATGTGAGCACAACCGCTGCTATAGACAAGACACAAGCATCCACCCCCGGTGACACGTGGGGCACGAGCCAATGTATGCCTTAACGTCGACGAGTAGGGAAGGCCAGTAGAAGTAGCGGGAAATGGTGTCGAGGGTCTTCTGGAAACCGAGATGTCCTGCGGTCTTGGCATCGTGGTGCTTGGCCAAGAGCTGAGTACGGAGGCCTCGTGCGTCGGGGATGCAAAGTCGGCGAGTGCCTTTGGTAATGATGTAGAGGAGATTGTTGTGAAGGGAGTAGTCGGGAACTGAGTCAAGATCGCACAGCTTGTTGTAAATGGTGGCGAAGTCTGAGCAGGAGAGATAGCCTTGGGTGTATCGGTGATGAAGTGATGGAAGGAGTTGAATATGAGTCATGGTGGCGTAGACTTTCTCGGGGGGCTTGTGGTCGGGTCGTCGCGAGAGGGCATCGGCAACGCGGTTGCTTTTGCCGGGGGTATGGCAAATGGTGAATGTGAACTGGGAAAGGAAGTCTAGCCAGCGGGCTTGGCGTGGAGTGATATCTTTCTTGGAGAGGATGGAGGAGACGATGGTGTTGTCAGTGCGGATGGTGTGAAGTATTGCCCGTCGAGGTACGGGCGCCAGACTGTGAGGGCGTGGATCACGGCGAGGAGTTCCTTCTCGTTGGAGGGGTAATTCATCTCCGCGGGAAGGAGCTTCTTGCTTGCGAAGGCGATAGGGTATTCGCCAGGTGGAGCCTCGGGGTGAGTGTGCGAGTCCTTGATGGAGGGGGTCTCGGCAGTGTCGCGGGGGAAATGTTGGGACAGTACGGCTCCGATGGCGAAGTCGGAGGCGTCAGTGGTGACATAGAAATGGCGAGTGGGGTTGGCAATCTTGAGGACAGGGGCCGTGGTGATGGTTTGCTCGAGTAAGTCGAAAGCTTGTTGGCGACGATCGTTCCAATGGAAAGGCTCGTCCTTGCGGGTGAGTTTGTGGAGAGGGTAAGATATCTCGAAAAAGTTGCGAATGAACAGGCGGTAATAGTTGGCAAGGCCAAGGAAGGAACGGAGTTGGAGGAGGGTYTTGGGTGGGGGGTACTCGACGAGGGCTGTGACCTTCCAAAGGTCCATACGGATGCCTTCAGCGGAGACAATATGGCCGAGGTATTCAACGCTCGAAGCGGCAAACGTACATTTGTTGAGCTTGGCGTAGAATTTTTGCTCTCGGAGGATCGCGAGGACTTGGCGGAGGTGCTGAAGGTGGGACTCGAAGGTGGGGCTGAAGACAAGGATGTCATCAAGGTAGACAACGACACAGACTTCAAGGAGGTTGCGGAAGATGTGGTTCATGGTGGATTGGAGKWRGCGGGGGCATTGGTGAGTTCGAATGGCATCACGAGGAACTCGTAGTGCCCGAACCGAGAGCGGAAGGCGGTCTTGTGGGTGTCCTCCTCACGGATACGGATCTGGTGGAAGCCACTACGAAGGTCGATCTTGGTAAAGTACTTGGCTCCATGGAGACGATCAAGGAGCTCGGAAATCCGAGGTAGGGGGTACTTGTTCTTGATCGTGATCCGGTTCAAGGCGCGGTAGTCTGTGCACATGCGGAGTTCCGAAGTTCCACCTTTCTTGACGAAAAGGCAGCTGGTTCCGAAGGGGGATGAACTTGGCTTAATGAACCCTTTTTCAAGGAGTTCACCGAGTTGTCGTTTCATTTCTTCGGCTTCGGGGACAGAGAGTTGGTATGGAGGGCGGSAAGGTGGAGAATGTCCGGGTTCCAGATCGATGGTATGCGATACGCCACGATCCGGAGGTAGTCCGGCGGGTAAGGACTCGGGAAAGACGTCCCTGAACTCATCAAGGATTGAAGTGATGTCGGGGTTGGAGGGCGGGGCTTGATCGGGTTTGTCCGTCGGGAGTACGTCCTTGGGACTTTCGCGATCAAGGACAAGACARTAGTAGGCGGAGTCGGGGTTTAGGCGAGCCATGTGGAGGAATTGGTGCGGGGTGACAGAGCCTTGGGAGGTCAGATATGGGAGATAGGGGATGTCGATGGTTGTGTCGGGGGGGTTGGTGAGGCGAAGGAAATTGGGGTGGAATGCGTATGGCATGTAGCAGTCCAGCCACGGGGTTCCTAAGACGATGTCGCACATCAAGTGCATGACATCAAACGAGACCAGACTGCGGAGGGTTCTGACGGTCATGATGGTCTCGGGAACCGTGCGGTCTACTACGACGGCGGTGCCTTTGTCCCCTAGGCGAATCGTGATCGGGGAGTCATAGCCGGTAGAGGTAAGACCGACTTTGCGGACACACGCGTCGGTGATGAAGTTACCGGTGGCTCCAATGTCGAGGAGGGCCCGGAACTTGGTTGTAGACGCACCAAGGGTGGCAGCGATGAATTTGAGGTGGAAACGAGATGAGTTGGCGGTGGAGATGATGGTGTTGAGGCGGCGTTGTTCGTTGCCTAAGCGGGCAAGCCGATCGTGTCGGGCTTGTTCCTCAACAACATCGGAGAAGGTGATAGTGGATGCATTTGGAGGAAGGGTAGAGGAGCATGAGGCAGTGGGCAGTGTTTGCGATGCCTGGGAATCGTCCGGTGGAGGGGGCGTCGCTGGAGAGGGGGAAGGCAAACGAATCGTCGATGTCAGATGGGCCACCGGTGCGACGAAGGATGTCACTGATGGGTAGGCTGACAGATGCAATGTTGATGTCGGGTCAGTGTCTTGGGAACTGTGTTCATGATGAGGAGGGGCCCCCGCTTGCCGAGGGCGGTGATGCGGAGGTTGCGGGTCGCGTGGAGGCGGAATGACGGGTGAGTCGTGCGGCGTTGGGGCAGTTGGTTTGTTGGTGCCCCAATTGGCGACAACGGAAGCAACCCCCTTTTGCTTGGAGGTAGGGGCGCTCCTCGGGGGTGAGTTTCTTGAGGCGGGAGGGTGGGGTAGATGAGGGTGGTCGGGAGCTACGATCTCTGCGTTCCATTCTCATGAAGTGGACGACATCGAGTTCCTCGGAAGTGAGGGATGAAGAGTCGAGTGAATCGAAAGATGCGTAGGGGTCAGATGTGGTGAACTCGTCTGAGGAAGTGATGGACGTGGTGTCTTCGGGGGTGATGTGGTGGAAAAAGCGGGTGCGGGAGGTGCCGGGGGGGGTCTGGTGGTGGGGGTGGAGGAGTCGATCGTGGTGGAGCATGCGAGAGAGGAGGTCAGCAGGGGGCATGTCGGGTTCGTGGGCGAGGGCGGTTGCAAGGTCTTTGTGGCATACTCGTTTGATGCGGGAGATGAACGCACAGTCGGGGATGACGGTGTGGGGGAGGTGGTGTCGGAGGGAGCGGACGTATTGGACGAAGCGGTCCGTGGGACCGGTCTGGCGGAGGTGGCAGAATTGTTCAAGGTAGTCGTCAATGGTTTTCTGGGGGCGGAAGGTGGCAGTGAGGAGGGTGGCCCATTGGAGGAAGGTGGGGCGTGGTCCTCCGAAGGCTCGGCGGTTGCTAGCTTYAGCCATCCACCATTTGGCTGCATTCCCGAGGAGGCGGGAGGTGGCAATGGGGAGCCGGTGGGCAAGGGGCATGTGGTGGAGCTGAAAAGAGTTCTGAAGCTGGGTTAGGAAGAGGAAAACGTCCTCGTGGGGGAGGCCGGAGAAGGACATGATTTCGCCAGATCGGAAGGAACGGGGGATTTCCCCGTCGCGGTGAACGATCTGCGCGAGGGTGTTGAAGCTGAGGTTATCGGGGGTGGTGTCGTAGCAAGTGTGGTCGATTTGGTTGTTGTCCTCAAGGAGGTAGTTGGGTGGAAGTTGTGGCATTGCGGGGAAAGCCTCGGAGGTGACTTGGGAATAGGTGGGACGGATG